TGTTGTTTTTCTTTGTTTTATTTATGGACAAGGAGCTCTGGTGGTGTAGTGATTAAGGCATTTGGCTGTTAACCAAAATGATGTTGGTTGAAGCCCACCAGCTCCTCTGCAGTAGAAAAGTGAGGTTATCTGCTTCCACAAAGATTTATAGCCTTGGAAGCTCGATGGGGGTTGCTATGAGTCTGAATCAACTCAGTGGCAGTGAGTCTTCTCTGAATCTTTGATAGAATTCTCCATGTAGCCATCTGGTCCCAAGTGCTTTTGTTGTTTTTGGCAGTTTTTGATGACATCTTCAGTCTCTTCTTTCGTAATGATTCTGTTTAAAATTGCTACCTCTGTTTGTGTTAGTTTGGGGAGGTAGTATATTTTTAGGAATTTGTCTGTTTCATCTAAGTTTCCAAATTTGTTGAAGTACAGTTTTTCAGATATGATCTTTGTTATTTCTGTTGGATTGGTTGTAGTGTCAACAATTTTATTTTTTAATTTGATTATTTACCTCTTCTTCTTTTTTCCTTTTGTCAATCTAGCCAGTAATTTGTCTATTTTATTGATGCTTACAAAGAACCAATTTGTGGTTTTATTAATTCTTTCTATTGTTTTCTATTTTATTTATTTATGCACTGATATTATTTCCTTTTGGTGGGGAGTAGCTTTTGGCATCTTTTGCTCTTCTTTTTCTATTTGTTCAAGTTGTTAGTTTAAATTAATGATTTTTAATCTTTTTTTTTTTAAATGTAGGCATTTATTGCTATGAATTTCCTTCTAAGTACTGCTTTTGCTGTGTCCTAAGGGTTTTGATATGTTGTGTTTTCACTTTCATTTGACTCTAGGAATTTTAAAACTTCATTCTTAATTTCTTCTGTGACCAAATAGTTTTTTTTATTACTATACTATTTAGTTTCCATGTACTTTTTACTTATTTTTCCTTTTGTTTATTTCTAGCTTCATATTATTATAGTCAGAGAAGATGCTTCACATGATTTCAGTCTTTTAAAATTTGTTGAGACTTGTTTTGTGTTCTACCATGTAGTCTATTTTGGAAAATGATCCCTGTGTGCTGGAGAGAATTTGTCCTGTTCTGATGCTGGGTGGAGTGTTCTATAGATGTCCAGTTGGATTATGGCTTTATTTAAGTTCTCAGTATGCTTAACAATCTTTTTGGATGCGCTGTCTATAATTCAGAGTGATGTGTTGAAACCCTCTACTATTACTGGAAGTTGTTTCTTCTTTCATATTAGTATTTGTTTCATGTATTCGGGTGCATTACTATTAGGTGCATATATATTTATATTTGTTCTCTCTTCTTGTTTGATTGACCCTTTTACTATTACGCAATGTCCTTCTTTATCTCTTATAATAGATTTTTATTTAAAGTCTGTTTTAATCTGATACCAATATATAGCCACCCTTGCTCTTTTTTTGTTTAGTAGTGGAATATGTTTCTCCATCTTTTTATTTTCTGTATGTTTGTGTCTTTATATCTACAGTGTGTTTCTCACAGACAGCAAAAGGAAGGATCATGTTTTTTTAATCCATCCTGCCACTTTTTGCCTTTTTCAGGGGTTGTTTAGACCATTTATTTACATTTAAGGTTATTACTGAGAAAGAAGTTTCTACTTGCCTATATTGCTGTTTTTTTTTTTTTTTTTTTTTGAGTGTTTTGTATCTTGTTTTTTTATTCTGCCTTTGCTGTTTTTGTTTGTATTTGGCTGCTTTCTTACGATGAGCCTTTTTGCTTTCTACTTTCTTTTCTTTGGAAAATTTTTTCTTGGTGATTTCTTAGTGCTTCTCATGTATATCACATCACATGACTTAAAATTGCAGCAATGTTTAACATATGTGCAACAGTTAACATACAACACTAACATAATAAGTCTATTCCTGGTATGCTTCCCCCGTTTCTGTTGGTGTGTCTTCATTAACATCAGTATTTAACCTATATTCAATAAGTTTACTTTGTGCTTGTTTCTTACCAACTTGATGTTGTACTGTTTGTGCAATTTAATTATTGAGTTTATTCTCTGAAAATATATATACTTAGTCTTTATGATTGCCCATGTTATTGCATTTCTTAGAAATCTCTGTCTCACTTTTATTTATGATTTTTCTGTGTATGTTGTTGTTGTTATGTGCCGTTGAGTCAGACCCGACTCATAGCGACCCCTCCTTGGGTTTCTGAGGCAGTATCACTACAGAAGTAGAGTGCCCCATCTTCCTTCCAAGGAGTGGCTGGTGGGTTTGAACCGCCAGCCATCTAGTTAGCAGTCAAGTGCCTTAGCCACTACGCTACCAGAGCTCCTTCTTCTGTGTATAGATATGAATATTTATTTAATGTTCTTGCCTTTCCATTTGGAGTATTCTCTTCATTAATACTTGCAAAGCTGGTGTAGTAGTAGAAAATTCCCAGAGTTTCTGCTTGTTTGGGAATGTTTTGATTTCCCCCTCATTTTTGAATGACAACTTTGTTGGGTGAAGAATTCTTTGTTGGAAATTGTTCTCATTCAGTATTTAATATTTCCCATTCCATTATCTTCTGGCCTCTAGAGTTCCTGGAGAGAAATCTGCACTGATTGCTATTAATGACCCTTGGCATGTTTTATTGCTTTATTTATTTATATTCTGCTTTCAGAATTCACTCCTTACCTTTAGTTTTCAAGATATGTTTGTCAGGATATGGCGTGGAGTTGAACTTTTTGTGTCTTTTCTGATTGGAGTTTCTATAGCTTCCTATATTTGCAGTTGGCTCTCTGTTCTGGATTGAGAAAATCTTTCTTAGAAAATAATTTCTTTGTCTTTATTGTTGCCATAGTGCGCTGGAATTCCAGTAGTTCCAATGTTAGATTTTTTACTTGAACCCCATATTTTCTTTGGGCTTGTTCACTTTTTTTGTTCTTTTCTCCTATTTCTCTTGGACTTGAAAAGTTCAGTTATTTTGTCCTCTAGTTCATTTATTCTATCTTCTGTCTGTTCAACTCTGTTGTTGACTATTTCTCTTGCTTTTTCTAATTCAGTTGCTTTATTCTTCAGAGTATTTCTTTGTTCTTTTTTTTCTTTTTTGACATTTTCAGTTTCCTTTTTGAGTTTCTCATTTTTTTCCTCCCTATGTTTCCTGATCTCTGCTAGTTTGTTTTCTGCCTGCTATTTGCTTTCTTTAAGGAGCTCTCGTGGCACAGTGCATAGGGTATTTGACTGCTAACCAAAAGATTGGTGGTTCAAACCCACCAGCCACTCTGCAGAAGGAAGACTGGGCAATCTACTTCCGTAAAGATTTCCTGCCTCAGAAACTCAAAAGGGGTTGCTATGAGTTGGAATTGACTTGATGGCAGTGAGTTTGTTTATTTGTTGTTTGCTTTCTTTAAACATACTTAGCACTGTAGCCAGAAAATAATCAATTCTTTGTTTTAGTCTGGCCTCCATAGGAGAAATTTCCTGTTCTTCATCTCTTGCTTTTGATTGGTCCTTCTTTTATAATTTTCTGGGCTTTACTATTTTTTTTGTTGAACTTGGGCCATTTTATTATTACTATTATTATTATTACTTTAAATTTTGTATTCTGGTTTTTGTAGGGAAATTTTCTCATAAAGTGCCCTGGTGGTACAGTAGCCATGCTCCTTGGCTGCCGATTGAAAGACCAAGGCCCACACCCACCAGCTGCTCTGTGGGAGAAAGATGCAGCCATCTGCCTCTGCAAAGAATCATACCTAGGAACCCAACAGAGCAGCTTCACTCTTCTCCATAGGGTGGCTATGAGTCAGAATTGGCCCAGCAGCAGTGGGCTTAGTATCTTTTTCTGAAAACTTCTAGAGGGCACTCTTATCTTTAGGTTCTCTTCAGTGCTGATTCAGGTGTTCTGGATGCTTGTTCTCTGGAATTCAATATGCATGCAAGGAAGGGGAAGTTTAGCTGGTCGCAGACATTGATGTAAACAGTGGAGCTCTACTTTCCTTTGGTGAAGATGGGAAGTTCTATCTGTCTTTCCCTCACAGGTTCCCCAGCACTGGCTTTCCCACTGTGTCCTGATGTGGGCAGGGAGCCAGCTGTTTCCCTCTGCATCACCCATCTGTCTGAAGTATTCCCTCCAGCTTGCTGCCCTTACAGTTCCTCCTGGTCTTAATGTCCATTTGTCTTAGCCCTCAGTGATATTCAGCAGCACTTTCTCACAGTGCCACAGTCTCCCTTGTTGTTGTTGTGTGCCGTCGAGTCAGCCCCGACTCATAGCGACCCCTCCTTGGGTTTCTGAGGCAGTATCACTACAGAAGTAGATTGCACCATCTTCCTTCTGAGGAGTGGCTGGTGGGTTTGAACGGCCAGCCTTCTGGTTAGCAGTCAAGTGCCTTAGCCACTATGCTACCAGAGCTCCTAGTCTCCCTTAGCCTTTCCCAATTATGCAGCCCATAAACTCCTACAGCCAATTTGCACTGGCTTAAACAAATTAGGGTACAGTTTCCTCAGATTAGCTCCTTTTCTGTTTTCCCTGTTTGGAGCATGACAAGGCTCATCCAAAAATGGCTGTGATAAGAGAGCATTCTTGATGTTAACAGGTAGGTTCTTTCAGCCTCTGTGTTACCCTCACTCTTATCCCCTGTTTATGGACTTACCCAACTATCCAAAACCTTAGCTGCCCTGCAGACTTCTGAGATCTTAGTAGATGCTTTTTTTTCATTTGTTGTTCAGTGGGTCAGTTTTTAGGGGAGTAAATAGGAATGCCCATTCACTTTGCCATCTTGCTACATTTTCCAGAAGCCTTCCTCTGACACATTTGCATGTCATCCAGGAAGCAGCACTGAGTCCTAAGAGTCACCTCATCTGACTTCACCACCTGGATTTCTACCTCTTTTTGTGTTTATTTTCTCTTTCAGATTTTTGGGCCCACCCAGGAGACTGGCTGCCTCTGAAAGCCCAAGGCCACCAAACTGAATTCTCCTCTGCCTAAGATCAACAGTAAACCCTTCTCTTTGTAGTATTCAGAGAAAAAAAAAAAAAATCCATCTATCTAGAACATGTCAGGTAACTATTAGCTATAGAGGAGTCAAACTTTTATAAATGCAATTTTAATTAGAAATTGAATACATTGCTTGTTATATAAAATCCAAAAAGCATTGAAGTTTTGTGTGCAACATGGATCACTATCTGGAATTATTTTATTCTCCATTTTGGCTCTACTAGAATGTAAGTTCTTTGAAAGTGAGGACCATGCCCATTTTGCCCTACTACTACCCCTAGAATAATCCCTGGGACATAGTGGCTGCTCAGTTGGCTGAATGAGTCCTAAAAATAACCATGGTAAAAAAAAAATTTGGTATTATTCCATCTTCACTTTGGTCTGTGCTCATGATACACACACACATAATCACACACACAATTCTACAACTTGTTTTTTCCACCCAGCAATATAACATGGAAATGTACCCACTACTCACTTATCAACATGGTTAGCTCAAAAGAGTAATTACAGTTCCTTTTCTTTGTTTATTTGTTTTTTCTTTCTTTGGAGAGTACTTCTGCCCATCTATTTGATTAAGAATTAGTTTTACCCATGTATTTCTAATGGCTTCTTTACCACTGTCCCCTTTTCTTTTAATTGTTGTAAATATATATACTACAAAACATTTGCCAATTCACAGGTGCAATTCAGTGACATTGTTACATTCCTCATGTTCTGTAGCCATTATTTTCTCACAGCTTTTCATGTTGCTGTTAGGAAATAGGACTAACTTTTCTCCTATAAGAAAATTAAATCAGATCAGGCTTTTAAAGGATTTAATTGTTTATTTTTGAGGAGACATAATTTTGACCCATTTTATTTTTATGTATTAATTAACTCAAGTAATGATGAGCTGTGATATAACCAAATAAAAAGTACTCATTATTTAAAGCTGTCATCCATTAAATAGGTTGATTTTTCTTAGTTTCAGCCTCTGTGATGGATCAGAACACTGGATTTTCTTTTTAATCTCCACTGAATTTTGATAAAGAGGATTTGCTCAAGAGACATATTTACTTCTTTTGATCTAGGTAAGAAAGTGCTGATTGTCAATGCGCACCAAGTCCCCAGTTCTTTAGATGGATCCTTGAAGTCAGTGGCAGAGGATGAGCTGAGCAGGCAGGGCTGCATGGTTACAGTGTCTGATTTATATACCATGGACTTTGAGCCGAGGGCCACTGGTGAGTCATGTGATAAATACACTCTCTATTTATTTGTTTATTTTTAACACTTTTTTTTTTTTTTATTTTATAAAGCTTCCAAAAATGCAAATAGTTGCACGTGATATAAAATCCTCAGGTCAAAAGAATTTATGGTGCAGGTCTTCTTCCCACTCCATCCTTCTTGCCCCTGGTTTCTCTGCTCCCATGCTAACTACTGTTACCAGTTTTTTTCTATCTCATACCAGAAACAGTCTGCTACACAAGCAGTTAGGAGTGATTTTCCATTTCACTCCATTTACGAAAAAGTGGTAGTGAAGTTGGACCAAACGTGGGTCCCTGCCTCGTGTGCAGTCAGGCCAAAACAGTTTACACACAAAGTGATTAAGAGGAGAGAAAATTATTTATTGCAAAGCAGCATTGCAAGGAGACGGGGGCCAGTACCTAAATCTGACTCCCCGAATAGAGGTTAGGATGCAGTTTTTGTAAGTTTCAGGAGAAGGGTGTTATACATATTTATAAAAACTTCCAGAATTTGGGTGTGAATTAACTGAGTATTGGCCTAAGCTTCCTTCACCTCAGTTTAAAGGGACAGTCGATATTTAATGCAGTGTGCTTACACACAGGATGAGTCTAACTGGCTTCCTGTCATCAGCTGATTGGGGCTTGGACAGAGGGGAGAATGTCAGTTCCCAGCAACTTTGCTCCTATTTTTCTCACTGTGCATGTCTGCAGGCCTAGGTTAATTTTGGGTTGTCTCCTGAAGCACATTAACATACTTACCACCTGTTTCTAGGGGATAACATGGAGATAATTTGTAAATTGACCTTTCATTCCATTAAATTCTTAAGGAAATGAGTTATAATGTTTACTTACTTGTCTCTAACCAAGGTCCTAGCTGTCTTAACCAGGGTGGGCATGATAGTTGAGCTTTCATTCTATTCAGTTTTTAAGGAAATGACTTATCATATTTACTTAAGTGCCTTCAACCAGGGATGCAGGCTGAACTTTGACTCCACTTGGCTTCAATCCCTCCTTTAAGTGGTAACTGTTCCATATTCTTAGGGAACGGGGCATTGACTCATTCTAGCTACTTCCTGGTGACTGGGGACAAAGATGATGGAACTCAGAAATCCTTGGTTAGTAAGTCTCTTGTAGTTTAGACAGCTCTTGGAATTTTCTGGCCATAGTTGAGGGGGAAGAGACTACAGGTGCCTGTAGAGTAGCTTGTAATTTTGGGGGCTTGAAGACAGATAAGCAGTTAGGTAGACACTGAATACAACAACAAGTAAAGAGTGTTAATGATAATATAAGGAGTGTTATAACAAATAAGGATCTCAGCCACGCTGAACTGGGTAACCAAGAGGTGAGCCAAGAAAAGTCTACTCCAAAGGTGGGGGTTAAATTATGTCGTATAGTTTCCCTGTCCTGTTGCAATTTATGAATGGTGCAATGAATAGCCTCTTGATCTTCTTCTATCTCTTCTGATGCATTAACTAATGAGCAACAGGTGGCATTGATGTATATATATACCCCTCCGTGTGCTACTAACATAAGATGCAAGGCTGCTTGATTCCAAAGCACAACAGTCTGGATAGAGGTTATTTCAGTTTGGAATGCAGAAGTTATATCAGAAGTAGAGTTAGCTACTGACTCTAGACAAACAGAAACATTCTGAATGAATTGGTATAAAAGATGGAGGTCATCATAATTTTTCCCCACGCCCATCATGTTGTTGTTATGTGCCGTCGAGTTGTACCCAACCCATAGCGAACCCTCCTTGGATTTCCAAGGCAGTATCATTATGGAAGTAGATTGCCCAACCTTCCTTCTGAGGAGAAATTTTTTCGGCCTTTTCCCAAGCACTCCAAGTTAGATCAGGTGGGCTACGCCAGTGTTGGTAGCTAGGACAGGCAGAATGTAAAACTTCTTCTAATGGCAGGAAATGCATTCCCCTTGCCCAGATCCATCCTAGAGTGCAGGTGCCTTCATGATTAGCTGGCCAAGTTTTAAAGGCAGTATGCTCACATAACCAATATAATCCCAAATGATAACCCCAGATAGTGGAGGGAATAAGCAGTAGGGGGGAACTGAAAAATAGCCCTAGCAATGCTCTGATTAGTTAGAGTGATGCCTATCCTATTAGACATATTCCTAACCAGGGTGTCATGTTCTATAATGGCACTATTTTCATTAACCCAGTTATGGTTTGGCATATAAAAGGGCCAGGTCTGGTTACATTGTGCCCACTACCCTATGGAAGCTGTTGGCCTAGAAGGAGTCCAATGTATACATAAAGTGGCCAAAGTTTGAGACCTTAATACATCATATTTTACCACAGAGGAACTTTTGTTAGAATTGATTATATTGGCTCCTTCATCTCCAGCCCAGTATTCTAAATATAAGGGGACAGGATGATAGGTAAACCCTGTGCTCCATGTGAAAGAGAGTGGGCACACACCCAACAATTATTAGCCTAAGGTGTGTGGTTTAGTAGGATTTGTTGTTTTGTGAGAGTGTTAGACTTCCATCCTCCTTCAGAAGGGGGTAGGGATACAACAATCATTGAGCTGATCAAAATTACATTCGTTGTCTTAACCTAGAATGGGTTTTCTTTTAAACAAAACCTTAAGTTCCTCGATGGATTCACAAGTATATTCCACTGCAGGTTGCTGGGGCATGCAATATTCAGTTGGTCAGGTTCCTTCGAGTCTCCCTGTCCCACAAGGCTACTCCCTGTAGAATAAAATTTAATTATAGGTCAAGGAGAATCTTCAGTGTAGTCTGGTACTATTCTCAATTGGGTGTGATGTATCCAAGGGTGGACTCCCTTCAGTTTGGTTAAAGAATGTGTTGTCAGCAATACTTCATAAGGCCCAGTCCTTTTGCCTGGAGCTGGCTCTGGGGAGTCCAGTCATTCCACTCCTTCAGCAGGACCCAATTGCCTGGACAGAAGCTATGAAGGGGAGTATCTGTAGGATACAACAACCTGCTGGAAGCAAACTGGTTAATAATCTTTAATGTTGCAGACAAAGTTTGCACATGTTTTAAAATATCCAATTCTTTAACAATTTTAAGGTCCCCTTTTCCTGCATAACTAGGGTGCCACACTCTAGAAAATAGTCTCCCATATAAGATTTCATATTAAGCCTGCTTCTGGGGAAAACTGGACCCACAACAGGGTAAGAGGTAAAAGCTTTATCCAAGGTAAGTTGGTCTGTCGGCACATCTTAGCCAGTGTCTTCTTAAGAGTATAGTTCATCTTCTCAGTCTTCTCTGTCAATTGGGGTCTCCACAGGGAGTGTGACTTCCACTTAATGCCTAATAGTTCTGTTACTTGTTGGACTATTTGGAATATAAATGCTTCCCCATTATCATTTTGAATTGAGACTGGCAACTCAAATTGGGGGATAATTTCCCTTAGTAGGACTTTACTCACTTCTGTTGCTTTTTCCACGTGGCAGGGAAAGGCTTCCACCCATCTAGTGAAAGTGTCCACGAATATTAGGTACTTGATTTTTCTGGGGGCTGTAGGCATAATGGTAAAGTCTACCTGACAGTCTTCACATGGGCCTAGGCCTCTTGCTTGAACTTCTTTTACTACTGGAGGTGGGCTGCACTTTGGATTGTTCTTGGCATAGATCAAGCAGCCTTGTGTTACCTGCTGGATGGTTTTGTACAGTTCTGGTCCTGCAATAAGTTTACTTAGCCAAGCATACAGGGCATCTCTCCCATAATGGGTGCTGGCTGTTGTTGTTGTTGTTGTTCTGTGCCATTGAGTCAGACTTCAGTCATAGCAACCCTTCCTTGGGTTTCCAAGGCAGTATCACTATGGAGTCCAACCTTCCTTCTGAGGAGTGACTGGTGGGTTTGAACCGCCAGCCTTCTGGTTAGCAGTCAAGTGCCTTAGGCACATGCTGCCAGAACTCCTTGGGTGCTGGTATGAGCTGCTAAAACAACATCATACATGAGGTGTGCAGGAATTAAGACTAATCCTTGTTCATTGTGGATCCACTTATTTTTAGTTTGGTCTTGTTTAAAACCCCATTTTCTGCTTGAGTTAAATCATCTTCTGAATACCCAGGATCTAAGTCACTAAGGTCTAGATCAGGAATTAGGGCCACCACCAATGTTATAAGAGTTTTGGTTTTGGCTGTGTGTTTGGCAGCAGTATCTGCCAGGTGTCTACCTTTAGCTATTAAGGAATCTCCTTTCTGATGTCCTGGGCAGTGCATTACTGCCATTTCCATAGGCTGGTTGACTGCTTCTAATAATTTGAGTGTTTCTCTGCATATTTAATTTCTTTTCCTCCTGAATTCAATAGGCCTCACTCTATCCATATGGAACCATAGCATGAAGTATAGAAAAAGAGTAACACAAATCCATAAATATGTTCACCCATTGTCTTGTACTTATTTGTAGGGCTCAGGTGAGAGCAATTAATTCTACCTTTTGTGTTGAAGTTCCTGGGTGCAGCACCTTGGCCTCCTTAGTCTCACATAATTACTACAACATATCCTGCCTTGTGGATGCCACTTTCTACAAAGCTACTTCCATCAACAAACAGTTCCAAGTATGGATTGTCTAATGGTTGATTACTTAGGTTGGGATGACTGGAGTAGACTTCCTCAGTCACCTCTAGGGAGTCATGTTCTGGTCCCTCATTCTCTGTGGTTGGGAGCAAATGTGGCTGGGTTAAGGGTAGACACTGCTTTCAGGGTGACATTGGGGTTGTCAAGTAAGGTTGCCTGATACTTTCCAAGCTGGCCTGCTGTTAACCAGAGTCCTCCCTTTTGCTCTAACACAGAGAGTACATACTGAAGAGTTAGGACAGTAGTGGGTTGGCCCAGAGTAAACTTCTCAGCCTCACTCAGTAAGCCACAGGTTGCAGCCACAGCTCTCATGCAAGTGGGCTATCCTTGGGCCACGGGGTCAAGTTGTTTAGAGAAGTAGGCTATAGGTCACCTCCATGTGCCCAGGTTTTGAGTGAGGACTCCTAGTGCCACTCCCTGTCTCTCATGCATGAATAGTTCAAATGGTTTTTGAGTGTCATAGAGCCTGTGATAGTTAAGTTTTTGTGTCAGCTTGGCTAGGCCTGGTTGAGTGGCTGGGCAGCTGGATGTAGTATTCCCCATGATGAGACTGGTAATCAACTCCATGGTGGAATCTACTGTGAGCAGCTGAGTAGCTGCCTTTGGGTATGTGGTCTGCTTCCTGTATATAAGCAGAAACTTTAGGAATGGTCTCTAGCCTTTGGCACACTTGGACCCTACATGTAGTCATGTCATTGCTCAGCAGCCTGCTATGTTCTGCTGACCTTGGGACTTACAATGGACTTAAGTTAATGGCCTGCCTTGTGGTTTGGTAACATCGGGACTGTGCCTTTTTACTTGTCAACCTTGGGGTTTCTCAGCCTCAGCAGCCAGCAGCTGTCTGAGTGAAGAAACGCCTCTAGATCCAGTGCGCCAGGAGCAGGAGGCAGAACTGGACCCCAAGGTTGAGGAGCTTTCACCCAGCCCCTAGAGCCTGGCACTTTGAACTTGGACTTAAAGCCTCCAAATTGTAAGCATAAACTCCTGCTTGTTAAGATCATCCCATTTGTGGTATATATTCTTGTCAGAGTGGCACTAGGTAACAAGAACAGAGCCCTAGGGCCGGTGAAGATCCCAATTTAACTTTGATTTGTTCAAAGGCTCACTGGCACTCAGGAGTCCAGTCTAAGGGGTCAGAGTCTTTCCCTTGAACTGCCTGGTAAAGAGGCTTGGCAATAAGTTCAAAGTTGGGTATCCAAATTCAGCAAAATCTCACCATATCAAGTAACCCATGGAGTTGACATTTAACAGTTGGAATTGCAACTCGTGTTATTGCCTCTTGCCATTCTGGCAGCAAGTCTCTTTGGCCCTGTGACAGTTCAAATCCTGAATATTTCACCTTTTGAACAGAGATCTGGGCCTTTTTCTTTAAAACTTTATATCTTCCTTTTGCCAAGAAATTAAGTACATTTGCAGTATTCTCATTGGACAGTTGTTTAGAGGGACTAGCTATTAAAATATCATCCACATATTGAAGCATTGTCCCTTGTGGCAACTGTAAGTCCCTCAGATCCCTTCTCAGGCCTTCCCCAATGGCATATATATAATTTTTCAACCCTGGGGAAGGACAGTCCAACAGAACTGACAGTCCCTGTCTTAGGGTCTTCAAAAGGGAATGTAGAAGAAGGCATCCTTCAAATCTGAAACTGTGAACCAAGTCTAGTCTCCTGGTAGTGTGGTGAGCAGAGTATATTGATTGAGGATCACCAGAGGAATATCCTCCACCACCTGGTTTATTGGTATTAGGTCCTGCACAAACCAGTACCCTCCCATGCCTGATTTCTTCACAGGAAGTATTAAAAAAAAAAAGGCAAACCATTGCTGTGGAGTTGGATCCCACCCATAGTGACCCTTCCTTGGGTTTCCAAGGAAGTATCACTATGGTAGTAGATTGCCCAATCTTCCTCCCAGGGAGTGGTTGGTGGGTTTGAACTGCCAGCCTTCTGGTTAGCAGTCGAGTGCCTTAGGCACTATGCTACCAGAGCTCCCACAGGAAGTATAGGGGTATTATATAGTTATTGGCATGGTAGAATCAGTCCATGTGCCGGACATGTCTCAATTAAGGGTTTTATTCCCCCTTTAGCCTCCTTCTTCAGGGGATACTGCTTGAAATTGGTAGGTTTGCAGTTGGTTTTCAGTCCTAACTTGACAGGTGTCACAGTGACCGCTCTGCCTCAAACTCTTGTAGCCCACACCTCTGGGTTCACTCGCTGTAAAATTTCTTCAGGTACTGTCTTGGGATCAGCAGTAGGTTACTGTAGGAGGGCCACTTACAGGGCCCATGCCTGGTTGGGATTAACATCCACTTGGAGCTTGTGAGCTGAGAAAGTTACCTGAGCATTTAACTTGGTTAGCAAGTCTCATCCCAACAGAGGAACAGGGCATTCAGGCACGTATAAAAAACCATGAGTTAATACAGTACTCCCCACCTGGCATTCAAGAGTTTGAAGAAAATTTTTACATGTAATTTTTCCTGAAACTCCAGTAATGTTTGTAGTCTTGTGGGACAGAGGGGCCTTGGGGACATTTAGGACTGAGTATGTTGCCCCTGTGTCCAGCAAAAATTCAGTGGGCTGTTTTCCCACAGTCATTGCTACCCAGGGCTCTTTGTGGGAGATAGGAATTTGCCAGTCTGCAATGGAACCCCTGGGTTCCATCATTCTTGATTGCTGTCAGCTGTGCTTACCATCTGCTGGGCCCCATTTGGTTGGTTTTGGAGGGCTTGTTCTGGGCATTCTCTCTTCTAGTGCCCATCCTTCCTGCAGTAAGCACACTGTTGAGGCCCCAACTTTGTTGTTTGGCCTCCTTGAGGAGAAGCTTGATTTGCTCTGTTTTGATTTGTTGGGGGCCCATGGGAACTTACCTGGTAGGATTGACTTCATGGCAGGCCTCCCAGGGCAGCAGCCAGCAGGGCAGCCTGTTGCTTCATGTCTCTTTGCTTCTGCTTCTCCAGCTCCTGGTCTCAGTTATTATAGATCTTGAAAGCAACCTCTACAAGTTGAGAAGTGTTCATACCCAGTCCCCCTTCTAATTTTTGGAGTTTGCACCATATATTGGGATGCTCTGGCTTATAAAATTTAAGCTGACCTTACGAGTGTTCTGGGGGTCATCTGGGTTGGTGTCAGTATGTTGGCAGTAGGCCTCCTACACCCATTCAAGGAAAGCAAAGGGATTTTCCTTGGGGCCTTGTTGTACTTGCTGAACTTTGCAAGCATTAATCTGCTTTTGGGCCCCCTTATGAAGCCCTACAATAATGCATTCTTTCATATCAGCTGACTTAGCTTGGTCCCCTGGGTCATTTGGATCCCATTCTGGATCTGTTTCTGGCACTGCCTGATGGCTGGTGCCCCTGACTAGGTTTTCAGGCTGGAGGTCGTGAAGTCTGATGGCTTCCTCTTTAGCTTTTTCTAATACCATCCATCTCTCTTCAGGGGTGAGCAAGGTAGTTAATAACATATTAATATCAGCCCAACTGGGATGATGAACTGAAAATATGGAGGTGATTAAAGTCTCCATCCACTTTGGATTCTCCCTGTAAGTGGGCATTGTATTTTTTAAGTCAGCCGTGGTGAATGGGACATGAATCCAAATGAAACCTCCAGGATTTACTTGATAATCTAAGGCAGGTGGAACCTGCCGTAACAGGTATTTCCCTGATGGGCCTGGATTAGACCCCTGGCCAAACTGTACACTGCTCTGAGTATGTACTGGGGAGACCATTTCCTGAGAGGCACCCACTTCCTGAGGGACATATGGGGTGCTATCAGGTAAAGAGGGATATAATACCACTGGAGTTTTAGGAGGTTCTGAATTAAAACTTCCCTAGGTTTAGATGGTGGAGTTGTAGGTGAGTTGTCTCTTGACTCTGGGAAGTATGGGGGAAGGGCATATGGGGGAGGAATGGAGTCAAGGTAAGGGTCTTCAGAGTTCCTGAAGGACACCGTTAAAATCCACTTTCCCTTTAGGCTGTACAACCATCACCCTGCACTGTTTCTGTAAACCCTTATTTTGAAAAAGGGCCATGAACAGTTCCATGTAAAGCAGTTCTTCCCACTTTTGTTCCTTTTTGCAAAACGAATCTAACTGCATAATAATATCATAGTTCAGACTCCCATTCTCTGGCCATCTATCCCCAGACTCAAGCCAATATTGGGGCCAGACAGTGTTACAGAAAAATATCATTTTTTTTCCTTTTTATAGGCTCCAAGCCAAAATGAGCCCAGCTTTTCAGGATACAGCCAAGGTGGCTGCATTCCAATATAGAACTTTGGTTACCCATTTTCCAGTCACACCTGGCATTCACTCTCACTTGAAACTTTTGCGCTGGTGCTGTGCACCCGCACTCTCACCCACACACAAAATCAAACTAGAGCCAGACCAGATCAAAGTAAAGGATCCCTAAGAAACACATGGGCTATCTTGATTAAAACTTCACTTCTCACCCACACAAAAACCAAACCAGAAAACTAGACCAGACGAGAGTATAAAATCCTTAAGAGACACCTGGGCTGCAGAGATGTCTTTGCCAAGGCTTCAAATGTCCCAGTCAGTTCCCCTTTCATTCTTTAAAGAATTCAGCTTATACTCACCCAGGAGACATCTTCAAACCCAGAATAATTTTCACTTCTCTCAAGAAAACAAATGTGCCTGTGGCCGAGGATGCTACAGATGGTCACAGGCTCAGCACCCCTTACATACCTTCAGACAAAGCAGTGTCTGAGTGCACACAAGAGTCTATCAGGGGTCCATCCATTTCCACCATCCGAGAGTCCTCAAGCCCTGGCCAGAGGCTCAGGGAACATCGGTCCCAACTGGGTCGCCAATTGAAGTCAGACCAAACGTAGGTCCCCACCCAGTGCACAATCAGGCCAAAACAGTTTACACACTGAGTAATTAAGAGGAGAGAAAATTATTTATTGCAAAACAGCATTGCAAGGAGACAGGGGTCAGTACCCAAATCTGATTCCCTGAATGGAGGTTGGGATACAGTTTTTGTAAGTTTCAGGAAAGGTGGGTTATACATAATCGTAAAAACTTCAGGAATTTGGGCATGGATTAACTGAGGATTGGCTGAAGCTTCCTTCTCCTTGGTTTAAAGGGACACTCGAATTTTAATGCAGTGTGCTTGTGCACCAGATCAGTCACACCGGCTTCCTGTCATCAGCTGATTGGGGCTTGGACAGGAGGGGAGAATATCAGTTCCCAGCAACTTTGTTCTTGTTTGTCTCACTGCGCATGTCCACGGGCCAAGGTTAATTTTCAGGTTGTCTCCTGAAACACATTAACATACTTATCACCTGTTTCTAGGGGATAACATGGAGAGAATGTGTAAATTGACCTTTCATTCCATTAAATTCTTAAGGAACTGAGTTATCGTGTTTACTCATTTGTCTCCAACCAAGGTCCTATCTGCCTTAACCAGGGTGGGGGTGATAGTTGAGCTTTCATTCTATTCAGTTCTTAAGGCACTGAGTTATCATATTTACTTATCTGCCTTCAACCGGGGATGCAGGCTGGATTGGCTCCACTTGGCTTCAGTAGCATGTCATATACATTGTTATGCAACCTTGCTTTCTTTTTTATTGGTGCAAAATTGTCCATTGTGTGGAGATGACATAGTTTAGGGGCCTAAAGGGCATTTTAGGTTGTTTCTGATCCTATGCTGCAATGAATAATCATGAACATTTCTATTTTCCTATGTAAGCCAGTATATCTGGAAGTAGAATTGCTGGTTAAAGGGAATGTGCAGTTTTAATTTGCATAGATATAAAATTGTTTGCAATGAATGTTGTACCAGTTTACACTCCCATCAAGAATGTCTGAAAGTGTTTATTTCCTCACATAATCACCAACAGTGGCACCAGTTTTCTTTTCTCTCTCTCTCTTTTAATGTATTTTGTTGTTGTTGTTGTCATTATGTGCCGTCAAGTCGGCCCGACTCATAGCGACCCCTCCTTGGGTTTCCGAGGCAGTATCACTACGGAAGTAGGATTGCCCAACCTTCCTTCCGAGGAGTGGCTGGTGGGTTTGAA